TGCTAGTGAATACTCCTTCAAAGCAAACTTCGGAATTAAAAGGAAAAATAGCCTTTTTTCAGCTTTTCAGGAAGGATATTTTCAAAGTCTAACTAGGGAAAAGATCCTTTATTTTGTTTTATCCTTTATTTTATTTGAAATTGGAAGCACCCTTTCATATGTGGAGTATGTGAACTTGGACACCACAAACTGCATATTGCTGCCCTCACCAAACAGCTTAAATAGAGGCACAAAATAAAGGAAATCTGTTTAAAGTGGAAACCAAACCAAAACAAACAAAAAAACCCAGATCCTGTTTGATTTATCGTTCTAGCAAATGGAGAGATATCTCAATTTAAACTTCTATTTTTCCCCATAGTAATTGCCTGAAAAAGTTAAGTTTCTATTTCTCTGTCCATCTCCCTGGACTATATCTTTGCAAGTCCTGCAAGCTGATAACAGCCAACGAAAAAAATATAAAAATATATAATAATCTGGGTGAAATAACATAAAAAAAAGAAAAATATTTGACTCCATTTTACCGTTTACTATTTCAAAGATGCCACAGGACTACAGGTGTGACTGACAAAAACATAGTTTCACTGTAGGGTTTCTCATGGATCAGTGTCCCTGACCATGAGGTCGGATAATCCAGATAGAGTGAAATATGAATCCAGGTATGTGATTTGGTCAATATTTGTTGCTTTATTCATAGAGAGAGAGTACGGAATGTAACTTTAATGATCACAGCCTAGAAGAAAGAAGTGGAATGCTCACCATATTTTTGATCACTTTATTCTTTTAACAGGATACCTGTAAAATCAAACTCACTCTTCTCTCTGACATTTTCAGTCTGACTCGGTAAAAATAAAAAGCCATCATTATCAATTTGTTCTTATGGCTAATTAGCATCTTTACAGACTCAAAAAACCTAAACAATCAAAAGTTGAATAATTTATGGTGAATGGGACATTTTTTGTCAGCAGCATTACAGTGTGCATTAGAAATATACTTCCCCACCTGGAGCTGTTGGATTATTGATTCTGGAATTCTCCTCAGCTATACCTATGGCAACCCCAGCCCGTGTGCATTGGATACTTTTTATTTGTTTGCATTTCGGAATTAATTGGAAATAATCCATGGTTACTCGCACTTGGGTAGGGTGCAATTCTGCCAATAAAGGAGGATGGAGGGGGTTCGCTAGGGGATTTCTCGTGCCAGGCAAAACCTCCCAGAATGGCCCCTGTTTTGTCCTGTGGGGACCACCGAATGCATCTCCTCGCCACCATATGATGCTGAAGACAGATTTTTTCTGCAGGTACAATCTGCACCTTCATTCAAAGGGGTAGGTGAAGAAATGAGGTGACCTGAGGTGTAAGGGCTCACATATTCCTTCTGCTACGCATCAGTCACGAGCTATTAACCACAGCCTGCACGTACGCTCCCAGGATGAGAAGAAGGTGCTAAAGGGCTTATTATTAACTCTTGTTTTTTCTGAAGGCTGGAACCCTACAAAGCCAGATGAGAAAACAGACATACACTTAAGGTTTAGGAACTAGGGAAACTATTTTTGTGTGTGTTTGTGTGTGTGTTTCTTCCAGTATCTTCAAATCAAGATGGAATATTTTTCTAGAAAACACACTTTAGCTCAAGCCATATTGCTGAGTTTAATGTAGCAGTGGCACTTAGCAACTTCTCAGATTTCAGAGCATTTAGGCACTTTTCGCCTTATGTTCTGAGTTTCCACAGGGGCAGTCTGCACTCGAATTGCCCAAATAAACAACCCTCCATGCACTGCATTCTTCCATGTGCACATCTGGTGAGTCCTTCATTGTTCCTAATTAGGATGCAGGTTCTTGGAAAATTACTTCTTTGAGAGCAACCGTGACAAGAAACCATGCAAATTAAAACAAGAACAGGGACTCCCACTGAGACTTTTATTGGGAACAAAATAAAAGCTCTGCGAGCTGTGCTCTGCTTTTCTTCCCCTCAGCATCACTGACTCTTCTGATTCCAGAGGCTTTGCCCAGGCCTCTATCATTGCAGACAGGAGTGGGTACAAAGCGGAGACTAAAAGTAACTTCCCAGTCAATATTATTACTAGATCTGTCCTCACTGGCTAATACTACTGTAGGTTTAGAAAAGCTCTTTAAAGAAACATTTAAGGAGCGTGTGTATCATGTCTCCATAGCTCTGCATCATTTGTGATTTAGCAGCAGTCGGGATATAGGACTGCTCGCTTCTTTAGCTAACTGCCTGGCTCCATTTAACATTGCGAAGAGAGAACTAAAAACATTTCCGTCCAATTTTATTACTTAGTCCAGTTCAACCCTAACCAACACTACTGTAAATGTGGATTAAATCACATGAAGGGAGTTGACCAAAACCTATGTTTGCATAAACTTTTCTCAAGTTAAAATAATCCCTCTAATATCAGAGGCGACAGAAGGGGGAAGCCAGGGGTCTTTCTAAAAATAAGCAAAAGCCTAGACGTTAAATCCACATTGGTGTAAATCTTAACTACCACTAACATGAATTATTGACATTTTCTTTTGAACAAATCACTAACATCTATTAAATGATTGCAATTTAGGAACCTTATTTTTTTTCATGTGAAGAATGTTCAATAAAAATTGCCAAGCCCAGTATTAGTGTATGTCATCGGTGCTTTCCCTTGCATGCAAAAATTGATCTTTTTTTTTTTTTTACTTGCTGCAATTCTACAAGATAATGCAGAACCTGCTTGGGTTCAAAAACACATTCTCAGGTACAATCATGCATTTGCTTCGTGCTCATTGGAACTGGACTAACTGAACTAACAAGTTGACAAATTATTTACCCATTTCTTATTATCCAGCCAGATGGAATAGTTGGAAGGAAAATAATTCTCAGTGTTTCAGGTTTTGACAGCTACTGATTAAGGGCCAAACCCACTAGCTGACATGGGAACAGTTTACATGGACAGAACTTGAACTTTCAAACAGCTGCCCCTCATTTTTTTTACAGGGAGATGTGAGCTGTGATCGACCTCCTTACAACGACAACGACAATCATGAAATGATTTGCTGAACACAAATACAGAAATGGCCTTCTGTTACTGAAGCTACTTTAAAAGCTGAAATTCAGCATCATTTTCTGCTGCTTTGTGGTCTGTAAGCACTAGTTCAGAAGGAAAAAAAAGCCAGTCTGAAAGCCTACAAACACAGAGCCACCTTCCTGAAGAAGGAAACGTTGCACCTCTGTTCCACACAAGCATGGGACGGCTCTCACCTCTGTGCAAGGCACACGGTTGCTGCTTGCACACACTATAGACACTACATATTTGCTTTTCTCTATAAAGCATAATTGTCCCAGACCCTCAGAGCATCAATTTGTGCAGTTCCAGGGACCTCAGTGGAGGATGTGGTCTGTCTCTAGCAGACCTACCAAGCTTCATGCAGAAGACAATATCCTCCTCTCAACCATTCATAGAGTCCCTTTACTGAGGTTGCAAGTGAAATCAGCAGCTCTCATCCTGCTTTTGGTTGTTGGCTGGCTAGGAGATAAACATCTCATTTCAAATAGGCCACTGAGCAGATGGTAATGACTTTTAATCACTAGCAACACGAGACAAATCTCAAATAACGCCCTCGAGATGAACAGTTTGATACATCATTCTCCCATTTTGAATGCTGATAGCACTGCCCTATAAAAAAGAGAATATGTGATTTACGTACATATATACTTCTTGCTGCGCCACTAAAATACTGATGGTCACTGACAGCTTTTTGAGCCATTATCCAATGGCCACTGAAGTCAAAGCAATGTTTCTTCTTCCTTTCTAGGTCTTCAACTAGTCCATCTGCTGCAGCAATGACGTGATGGTTCTTAGCTGTTGAAACAGAAGTTTGTGAGACCTGCAAAAATTTGCTGATCATTACTTAAAATGAGAGCGTGGGGTAGTTTCTTTAGTCAGCTGAAAACGTTGTGCTTAAATGCAAACAAATGAGCTTTTGCAATTTGTGAAAGCAATAGTGAGGGTCAGACACCAACTTTCAGCTTATGCTGAAATTATTGCAGACAAATCACAAATCTCTATCTCGGTCACTTCCTAAAAGGCAATCCGGGGAAGTTTCTCATAGGCCTTGTCTGCTGCTGCACGACTGAAAAACCTGAGGTGTTCTTTATATTAATGACTTCTTTAGGCTGATGGTGGTTTTGACTCATTTTGACCTAATCTCTCTCTGATCCTTCGTAATGTTTTCAGAGCAGTCTGGTGACCTAAAGATGGTGCTGGGCAAGACCGTGTGACAGGTCATTTCAATCCTTTCATGGGAATCTCCTTTGCAGGAAGCTTGGTAGACTATTTCTTAATAGTAATGCGTACAGCTTTGCTTGAGCTTTCTGACAGGGCAATCTGTTTTTAAGTTCTTTTTTCTGCGGGGAATTTGTGAGAACAGTTTTCCAACGGTTAGGTTAGCCTGACTAACCCAGACCTGCAACAGAAACTCCATGGTTTCTGGAGTTCTGCTTCACCAAGTGAAGCAAGTATATAATTAAAATCCTATCTCTTCCTAGCAGTGAATAACTAAAATGAAGGAAACAGGACTTCCTGCCTTTCTCAAGTGTAGGTTGGACAGATGCCTTGGGAGGGTTGTGAGGGAAATTGGTGTATACGTGTCAGGCCTGAGGAGGAGAAGCCACGTCTGCTGTGATCTGTGTGTGTGACCAGGGCGCCGGGACATCTGGAAGATGTCTGTGAGGGGACGACCCAAGGTGCAATGAGGAATGACCCAACGGCTGCGGGAACAGCAGCTCCCCCAGAAGCATAGGACAAAGCGGCGTTTGTGCTGTGCACAGGCCACAAAACCGCCACCCGCAGACACGATGTTTGGGGAGTTAAGCAGCCATCCTTCCCTAAGATGACACAAATCTCAAATCCTGCATGGTATTCTGTCAGACTGTCCTTACAGTGCTGAAGGGAGCATGGCAAGGGGCTCCCCACAACGGCCCCCGCCTGCTCTCTGACTGATCCCCTCCAGCTGCTAAGGCAGGAGCTAAGGACTTTTATCCAAGGCCCTGGCCTAACCCCGCGGGTGCGGAGCTTCCTCCGCAGCTTCGCGCGGAGGCCCCGCTCCCCGGACTACGTTTCCCAGCGGCGCCCGGCGGGGGCGGGTCGAGGCGGGGCGGCCCGCACCGCCCGCCGCAGCATGGCGGGCCCCGAGCGGGCGGCTGCCGAGCGGGCCGACAGGCTCTTCGCGCTGAGCGGCCTCTTCGCCGTCTACAAGCCCAAGGGCCCCACCTCGGCCGCGCTGCTCAACCGCCTCAAGGAGCGGCTGGCGTCGCTCACGCCCGAGGCCTTCACGCTGGACGCGGCGCTCAAGGGCAAGCAGCGCATGAACAAGCAGAACTTCCTGCAGGCGCAGGCGGCCGCGGGGCTGCGCGGGCCGCCGGCCATGGCGGGCTCGGAGCGAGGTCCCCGGCGGCCGCGGGCTCCGCCGCCTCCGAGCAGCTCGGTTTCAGCTCGGCTGCGCTTTGCTGCAGCAGCGAGTGGGAAAACTCCGTGCTTCAGCCCTGTGGGAGTCCGGGGTGGGGTATGCCGTGGGTGTTTTCCTTTCCTTCTGGAATAAAGGAAGCTTGAGCTGCCTGGTATCAGGCAAAACTGAGTTTAGTCATCGCACGCATGCGGCGGCCTGCGCTCTTGGTCATGGGCTTGGGACCTTGGCCATCGCATAGGGCTTGGGGTGGTGGGACCCTTGGACAGCACAGAAGCGGCTGTGAAGGAACTCGGCTCATCCCATGGTTTTTGAGGGGCTGCCTGTCCGCAGATGTGCTTGGCCATCGCGTGCAGCCGTCGCTCTCGCTCGGTACAGCCGCTCCTGTGCTACCAGTTTGTGCCCTAAGTGGTTTCTTCTCATCTCTCCTGGCAATATGGAAATACATGTTATTTTTTTCCTGTGCTCTAAGGTCAGCCTGTAATGCCTCTTCCACTTCTATTTGCAGAAGCTGGCGTGCAAGCAAACAAGAACAAGAGAAAGAAGCAAATCTTGAAAATTGGGCATGGTGGAACTTTGGACAGTGCAGCTACAGGAGTTTTGGGTAATGGAAAATATAAATGCAGTCCTAGGGAGGTGACTTCAGTGAACAATTTCATGCCTGCATGAGATGAGAGGTGGAGGAGTGACTTGGGATGTGCATGGCAGGCTGCGTGGTCTGGGGGTGAAGAAGGATAACTAGGGAAGAGAAGGAGTCGGAATAAGCTTCCCTTATGTATGCTTTAACGCAAATATGACACATAGCTGAATAGCAGGAGTGTTTTCCTCCACTTCTTCAAGCTGTGGGTTATCTACATGAAGAAGTAGAATATTGTGTAATGAGTCATTCTGACTTCTAAAGTGTCTCAGAAACTGATGATTGTGTTTAGTTAATTCTGGGATTTTTGAGAGCCTTTTGGGATTATCATAGCTTCAAAATGAAAGATGAGTAAAACCAGTTAAGCTGTTGTGTTTTGGGGGATCAACAAGGAAGCAGAAGTGAAAGCTATCCTGTCTAGTAAAGAAGAGTAATGAAAGACGATCTATGCTATGTTTTTTTTTTTTTTTTTTTGGAGTGATTTGTCACACTCCTTTCTTCTTAAAGAACAGGATGTATCAATTTTTTGATTTGAAAAAAACAGCTCTTGGCCTGGATTATGTCTGTATCACACCTTGTCACTGATAGTTTTGTTGATGAGTAACTTAAAAACTTAGGTTTGCTTTAATCCTAGTGTTGTTGCTCTCTTACTGAAAGAAATCAGCTTTTTTTGTTGTTGTTGTTAATGAAGGTTTTTTGTGTGTGTGGCTTTTTTTTTTTTTTTNTTTTTTTTTTTTTTTTCTTTTTTTTTTTTTGGTACTGGGAGACAACAGGTGCAAGCATAAATATGCACCGGGAGCAGATCCACTGAGCTTTGCTGTATTGACTTCTCAAGCAGAGCAGTCCTCCAAAGGAGGGTTGTTTGCTGAGGCTGGTGCTAGCAGAGGCACATGTGCTGGTAATTGTCTTTCCCTGCCACCTGTTAATTTTGCAGCCTGTAACCTTTGCGGGCTAAAAGTACTAACTCTTCCAATTTCCTGAGCTGTGTTGCTCACCAGAGGATACTGTGTATTGCTGAAGTGAACATTTTCCTTTTCCACAGATGTTCCCATTGAACATGCTAGTATTCACTGTGGGAAGTCAACAGCATTGATCCGGAGGAAAAGAAAAATCATTCATGCTTTTTAATTGCTTTTCCTGCTGTTTTCTGATATCTAGTGGTCTCCAAGGCCAGCCCCTGTGGTATGAGAAAAAGGACACGAGGTTGGTGTGCTTGGTAGAGACAGAAAAGTGCATCACCTTAATATGCTATGGATCGATCCAAAAAGGCACAGGATGTTTCATTTCACTGCCATACAAAACACAGAAAAATCAATGATCACTAGATTGGAAAGGATGAAATAGGAGAGGAGCGGGAAGGGGACTGTACTCAAATTTCCAAGGGCTCAAATAAAGCAATGAGGAGGGAGGGGAAGCCTTAATAAAAGAAGCTATTTAGGAAATGCGTGTGCTGCTGCTTAGCATGCAGTCGTGGGACAGGAAGCTTTCTTTTTTTTTTTTTTTTTTTTCCTCCATGCACAGTAGCATAATAAAAATACCCATTTGTTGAAAGTGTCTCTTCATTCTTTCTTGATCCTTCCTCCTGTTTCCCAAACTTCATGTGTTACAATTATATATGCAAAATGTAACTTTGTTCATGCAATCTGTTTAATAACAAGTCTTGATAGTGTGGAATCTGCAAATAACTGGCCAGTGTTTTTTATTCAGAAGATACCCAAGTATCTTCCTCTTCCTACTTGCAGCACGAATAGATGAGGAGGGACCCTGGAGATGGAGGTTGGGGCCCTGTGACAGGCCGGGTTTGGAGGGCAGGTGATGACCCTGTCACCATCAGATCTGAGCAGTGACATCCCTTGTCTTTACCCACCTATAGCCTCCGTTGTGTTTGGGAAGTGGTGGGAGTTGGATAGCAGAAGCAAGGAATAGGTCAAGTCTGAATGAACTTCTTTTAGTATCAACTTAGGAGTGTGGCTCTAGCTTAGTAATTCAAATTACACACCAAGAAACACATTGTAAATATTTCCATTTCTTTGTAGTATAGCAGTAATGAGCTATGTCTCCTTAAGGGGAAAAAAAAAAAGTGAAGAAATATCTAAATAGAAGCTAGGGGTAAAGTTTTTGATCATGTTTTTGCAGTGAGCACACAGCTGTAATGTGTGTGCTACCTTATAAAAGGAAGATTGGAGAATTTTGTTTTCCATGCTGGGAGTCCTCTGCCCCAGGAAATTATAAACCATTTATTAAAAGGCAGACGTGGGTGTGTGATGGCAGCTCCTTTGAAACTGAAGTAGCGGGTATGTAAACCTAGCAGAAAATGCCATTCAAGAAGCAGTTCAGACACTGGCAAATTAGAAGTGTAAAAATTCAATTAAACCATGTGTTCCCTACAGTCTAGCAAGGTTAGTTTATATCTCCTTTCGGTACACAAGCTAAGGGGAAATTGCAAGCATCTTGTTCATAAAAGCTTTCAGTGTCTCTTTAAAATGATTCTATTGAATCTCTTGACACTCCAGCAAGTTTCAGCTCACCGTTTATGTTGAAGTGTCAGTGATGTCATCCGGCTGCAAGGAAAGTGCTCGACCATGGAGTTTCATTTGTGAATTTACCTCCTTTTACCTCCTTTTCTCAGCCTCGTTGCTGCCCTTTATTAACTGTGGAATAGGACAAGAACAGGCTGAGCTAAAGATGCACAGCAGAGCAAGCACAAGGACATACACGAGTGTAGAAACCCTAAGGGAACAAGGGGATAAATAATGGAAAATAAGAAAAGGTCTAGGGAGTGTTGGAGTAAAGATTAAGAAGCATTAGTGTTAAAGCACAAGTATTTGTAAAGAATAAATATGTGTAAGGAGTTATTATCTGGTTTGATGCTTCTAGTACTGTCTCCTGGTTGACACAAAGCTGATTTTCTCCTACAGGCTCCCTTATCCCCTGTAATTTTACTGAAATCAAGGGTGTGAGCTGCTAGGTATTCTATATTTTGTAAGAGAAAGTAATTTCCTTCAGAAATTCTGCAAAGATAAAGGCAACCCTGTGTCATTCCGATGGCAAAAGAATTTCAGACTGACTTCTTCATTTTTCATTGGAGCTGCATCTTTTTACTGTGTGAGGTAATGGAAAACTCTGTAATGAATTACCAGGGTGGTGATGTGTTCTCACAAATGTGTGTGGTGACAGGGTATCTGGCTTTTCATTGTTTCCCTTGTTTCTCCTTCTGTTGTCATTATTTTTCTGATTGTCGTATGTGGAAGAAATCAATGGAAAAAATAATTCAAGGAAAACATCTTGTTGTGAAATGTTTTTAAAGTCTTTTTTCCTGCTTTGTATTTGAAAAGCTGGCTGTTGCTTTGCTGAATACTGATTTAAGATCAAAAAGAAATGATCTGTGCATACATATTAATAGGACTGTTTGATTGGAAAAGATGTTTGCTGGAGATAGTGGAGCCTAATGATTCTTGGGCTTCCTTGCCATGACCCTGATAAACTGTTTCATTATGTTATCTTTGCTGTGTTAACTCTAGGCCACTAATAACCTTTAAATGGGTGCTATTTAGTTAGAGTGAAGGCTGGATTTGTTACTGGGAGCCAAAGCCTTCATCACACGGGAGACAGGGTTAATTGTACTATGCATTTCTTTGCAGATTAAAATACAAATAAATCTCTGGGTGAAATTAAAGCATTTTAACAATAGGTGAAGATTATTTGTCTTTAGACTTTTGTTTTTGTTTTGCTAATCCCATGTTTTTTGAGTATCAAATGCATCCTTCTCATAAGCATTGACTCTTCCAATGCTAACAGCCCATGCTTCTGACTAGCATAATGTTTAGTGGTGATTGGTGTTGAATGAGAGCTCTGTGAGGATGGTTTTGAGGGGGAATCCTATGACACTTCTCTCTCTGTCTTTGCAGTGGTTGGTATTGGAAAAGGAACAAAAATGCTGAGCACTATATTGGCAGGTTCGAAGGTAAGAAGCATTAAACTGGTTGTTCGTTTGTTTTTTCCTTTAAACAAAGAGCTGCAGCATCATATAAATATCTCAGATATTCGGCCTATTTTGTTTAAATATATTCAGGCAGAAATTTGATATTAAGACTGACTTCCAAACTGTTCTTCCCCACACACACTCAGGATTCGTAGAGAATGCTAATAAAGATCAAATTTCTATTTTATAAGAAGATTTTTTAACCCTTAAGATTTCTAGATGGTTTCACTGCTGCATTTTTCCAAAATTTATTCTATGTTCAGAGAATGTCAATACTAGATTCACCCAGCTGACAGCTTTCCTAACATATTTTATTCTCTCTCTTTCTCTCTTTTCCCTCCCCACCTCATTTGAGTCTAATTAGAGCCCTTAAGCTATTTCTAGGTGCTGAAGTAGTAACTTGAGGTTTGGAATCTGCTTGATAATTTCAGTTTGACTCAAAGAAAAATGTGAAAGGAAGGAATATTGCCAAAAGAAAAAGCCATAGCTGTAGAGTCTGATACAAAATTTGTTATATTTAGTGTCAATGTACTCACTAGTACATTTGCATTTGATATATAGAACCAAATTTCAGAGATATTTGAGAGCTGAAACACTATAAGCCTCTGGAGCTAGATTTACGGTGGAATTGTAAGGAGATAGATGATAAAGTGGGTCCTTAAAACCACTTCTGGACACTTTAGATGTCTCATATTATACAAATCATAAGTTTATCTGTGCAACCTTATAAGTATCTACATTTCTCCTATTGTCAATGGACAGATTAATTTTAATCTGCGATTATAGCAGATGGTAGGAAAAACAAATCCAATATTAGTCTTTGCAAATTCAAGCAAAAATTAGCCATTCAGCTAAAGCCACCTCTAGGTTTTCCCATCTAGTCTGACCAGTGTGCATCCCCATGTGTTGCCGGGATTCAGGGGACCAGATCCCCAAAGTATCCAGGATGCTACTGTGCTGAATCCTGCTTTCTCAGCAGCTGCTCTCCTCTTCACCCAGTGCTGTTGAAAACTTGAGAAATTTAAACAGTCTATTATTGAACTGATAATCAAAAAGCCAATTAAGCAGTAATGCACAGGAGCACTTAATCCATGATACTCTTTCTCTCTTCTGTTGGAGCTGTGTTGCTCTGTATAGGAACAGTTGGGTTCAGCAGTCTCACGACCACTAACCACTGGGAGGGAGGATTCTTCTGTCCCTGAATTATTCTATTCCTTAATGCTTCCATGTGTCATCTCCTGTTTCTTCTTCTGAGGTTTTCACAAGGAAACTGCTCAAAGCAGCCAGGCTGGAAGAGTCCAGCTCTTGAGGTGAAGTTTCCAGCCCTCATTAGGGAAAGATTCTTTTTTAGCACTTAATTACTTGTGAAGTGCTAACCTCTCCCACCTGCCATCTCTCTTTTCAGACCTTTTCAATTAAAGAAAGGCATGGAGCTAAACTGAGAAATTGTAGCTGAACATATGAAAGCAATTCAGAGTTGCTGAAAACCAACACAGGTTGGTTTTCACAGTGGAAGTAGATGTGAGGGAGGAAGCAGCTCCAATCCTTTCTGCTGAGGAGAGTAGGCACAAGCTCCATGGAGGCTTTACTGTGCGATCAGGTAGGCCCTGTGAGCCAGGTCTGGTCCAATTTTGTGTCCAGGTAGCTCAGGAAGGCCGCTCAGCTGCTGCTGAGGGACAAGGGGTGGGAACACAGAGGAGGAACTGGCAGAAGGGAGGCACCCCAGTGACACCCGCCAGCTCTTGTGTGACTTGGGATCGATAGAGGCCCCGAGGGGAACACAGGGTTCAGGGAGGTGAGCAGAGGCCCCCGGGCTCCTTCTCCACGGCTGTCAGTGTCCTCTGACACTTCGCTGTGGGCAAGGAGGTTTATGTGTCCGTGTCGGATGGTGCGGCAGTCCTGAGCTTCCCTTTGGAGCATGTCTGTCCCTGCTTTCCCCTCCTGTATTTATACTTTGATACATTAGGGGTGCAATAATCTGAGAGGCTTGAATGTATAAAATATTTGCCTTTGGTTTTGCTTCTTTTGGACCACACTGACATCAAAAGCTTGTAGTGTAAGATCTGATGTTAAGTCCATGACTGCCTAAATCACATTGAATAATAGTCTCTTACATCTCATGAAGCATGCTAGGAATTCTAGACTCTTATTTCATCTTTTTACCACTGTGGCTGATGGAGTGTATACTAAAGGGCGTGATGTTTTTCCTGTGTTGTTTGCTCTAAAGATTTGGGTGAACTGGATGAGCTTCTCTAGTTAGAATCTACTTTTTGATTATGGGAGTGTATTTTGCAAAGAAGCAGTTCAGTCTATCGTTGCTGGCAGTGGAGAGCTGCTGAGTGGCAAAACGTATGTTACTGCAGTAAACTCCATATGGTGGCTCTGCCAGAGTTTGGACTGTTCTGCATTTTTTTCCAAACGTTGTGTGAAACTTTTCTGACTCTGTGTGGCAGCTCTGAACATTATCACTTGATTTGCGGCTCAAAAACATTTTACAGGGATTTTACTCTTTTGCAGTAAGTCTGATTCTCTGCTGGTGCTCTGTGGGCTTGACCTGTTTATGGATTAACTCAAAACAAATAGAATTTGCAGCCAAGGGAAATACCTACTTACTGTTCTAAATGTCTCATGGAATTCTTAATGTTTATCCAGAAATTAAAATATGTGTGAGCTGGCTTAGGTTTTGTTTGTTTGCATTATTGTGCTTCAAGTGCACCAAGCAAGGGGGAGAGTCTTGTTGGAGCTGGAATGTAAATGCTGAGCGTTTAGGATGAGCTCTTTCGTGCAGTCTGAGATTTTGTGCTTGGACTTCTTGCACTGCATTATTTAGAGGGAGATTTCTGTTTCCTTGTGCCTGCAAAATAAGGATAGTAGAATATTTCCTGGTTCACCAGTAAAATGAGTATGAGGAGGGCACTCCAATATTTATCATGATAAATTGCTTCTGAAGGCCTCAGGCTCATGGGTGGGCTATGCTGTCTGAAGCACAATGTAGAAGTGATGCTTCCAGGGAAATGAGTTAGGCTGCTGGCTGGTAGCAGTTTCCAAAGTGATAATCTTGTTTTCAAACCTCTTATCTGCCAGAATGTTCTGTAATATAGAGACTAGGAGGGGAAAGATCAGGGACTCTGTGGAGAAGGAGAAAGGGAAAGCAGTAAGCAAGAAAGTTCTTTATCGTTCCAATACTTTCCATGGGGAGGAGGTGTCTTCCAGCACATACAGCCTTTACTTTAATGTGGGGTAAGACAATCTAATTGAAACTTTCAGACTTTACTTTCATATTTAATTTTCATTTTTTTCAGTGAGGCGACATCTGGGTTTACTCCAAGAGAGTTTCATTTGAGTGTGAATGAAACCAGAACTCGGTCGCCCCAATCTGTGCTCAAAGTCACTGGCTGTGATGTGCACAGAGCTGGGATGTTTTGTGTTTCTTTGAGGTTCACCTTCTAGTCACAATCTGCTTTTACTCTGAAGCCCAGAAGCTTGGTGGCTTCTGAGGGACTGTCTGAGTATTTGCAGTGTTTGCACAACCTTAGGCAGGGACTCATTAAAATGGAAAATCGGATCTTGCAAGTTGTGGCTTCTCCAGAGCAAAGCACTGACAGAAAGAACTTCCACTTGATCAAATAAAATCCATAAGTGACCTGGTATGTGACAACTTAGATTCATTAAAACTGAGGGGAGGGGGGAAAAAAAAAAAGTTCATTTGATTCCTGAATGGGAAAGGGGAGTAGTTCAGTGATCAGGTCTCAACTTGCTGAAGTTACAGCTATATCCCATGGAAATAGGGTGTCCATCAGAAGTAATTGGTTCAACATTACTTATTACCATGAGAATTTGTAACAGACCTTTACATTCTTTGTTGTAGCTCTAGGGTGTTGACACCAGTTGATGCAGAAATAGGTGGCCAGAAAGAAGATTATTTCTTTACCTTGGTGATTTGTGAATGTTGTGATTATCTTATTCTAAGAGATTGGCCTTTAAATTATATTGCTTAACTTCTCAAGCAAAAGGGTTGTGAGCTTTCTCCAGCAATTCATTTATTTTAATTTTAAGTCCTTAGTTTCTGTCTTTTAGCAGTGAGCTCATGGGATTAATAATGCATTAAAACTAAAATCTACTGTCTCTTTTAAGGAGCAGAAGCCATGAAGTCTTTCCTTGTGACTTTGTTTATAGCCTCTTAAACACCACCCATACCCACTTTGGTATCCAGTCATGCAACTGAGTTCCTTCTAAAGCCTTTTCCTTAGTAGAAGCTCTAATAGATGTATTTCCTCTATTTATTCATCTTCAGGAAGTTTGTAAGAGCTCTGTATCTCTGAGAACTCTCTTCCTCTCCCAGGTTTATTTAACATTAGCCAAGTATTTAGAAATAGTTAGAGAACATTTGTATGTCTTTGCATTAATGTGCACATATGGTGGTATACATGGTATTTCATGGGGAAATCCTATTTTTTAAACTTTCCATTTTGGTTTTAAAATGGATTTTAAAAGCATTTCTTTTTTTCTGCTTCTGTTCATATATTTGAATTGTGAGTGCAAGAAAACTGAAGCCTTGACTATCTTGTTGAAGGGATCATTGTGGTGTGTGCTGTCTTCGTATTTTTTTTCTACAGTATCAGCAACTGAACTCTAACTTTGTATTCTTTTGGAGCTGCTAGGAGCCAAACTACTTATTTATAGAGTGCATAGCAATGTGTTCTGTTTTCTTTATCAGATTCTGAGACTTTTAAACATTCTCGTGGCATGGTAAGGTGTGTGGGTAGTGGAAACACTTACTGGACTAACTGGAGTAGTATGAAAAATTAGATGGGCTTTGAAAGACCTTTCTTGGGTCTAAAGTAGAAGTCAGTGATTTTAAAAGCAAATGTAACTTCAGATTTGTTTAAAGCTTAGTGAAGTATTTAGACCACTTCTGAAGGAAGAGTGTGAAATACTTGTGAAGGCAGAATACTAACCATTATGGGTAGACAGGTTGGAAT